GCACAGTTGTGATTTATCTGTATGCGTTGCCACTTAGACTGTACGGATTATCAGAGATTATCCTCGGGGATGTTTTCGTATTCATGTTATTATGCGTGCCGTCACTCAATTTCGCGTAAAACATAACGGCGACGTTTTGATCTTTCTTTCATTCCGCGATTTGAACATTTTCGGTGTTTTTGACCGGCGTAGCTTTTCGTCTGCGAATATAATTCGTAAATATGTTTTGAACAAAATGTGCATATTATCTCGAGAATTAATACTCACAGCCTAAGATAAATTAATCTGAGAATAATTAATATAAAGATAATAACGCTAGCTCCAATGCCAATGCTCGTGTTTACACCTTGAGGTTCTGCTATCTCATTCGTGGCCACTGCAATACAAACAATCATGTACCTGATTCAAATTTTTCATTTTTCATACTTATTTCCTCGACGCGTAAAATAAACAATTCGTAATATTAATGACGTTAAATTTATTTTAAGTAATCTGCTGTTATGGATCTTTGATGAAAGATTTTTTTAATATTCAGTTTTTAAAAAACTTTGGAAATTAGCCGATGGAGTTTGAAGATTTTTCAGTTTTAGTATAAAAATATCTAAAAAGTGATATTATTTAAATATACATTTCAAAGATATGATATCGATATCGATATCTTATTTACATTCGCATTTTGGCTCTCGTCGCTCCAGTATCCTGTGTCCAAACATTTCCTTAGAAATATGCCGATCCTTTCGTACTGCAGTAGGCAGTGATACCCGCGGCTCCTCTGTAAATCGTCAATCCATTCACTACTGTTACTCTACCGTTCTCTATCGGTTCCGGATGCTTATAATCAGTTAAAAAGATATTGCGAATGAATTTTAAATTATTCTAGTTCTTCATAATACTTTAGTTACATATTTATTAATTTATTATTATATGTATATAAAATTATTTATACTGAATGATATAAAATTTAATGTCTTGAAAATTTATTCATAAAATATTTTTTTATTTTTTCATATAATGAAATTATATTTATATAACGTGAATTTTGATTATAAAGATTATTAATATTATTTACTAAAAATATTTATTATTAAATTTTAATAAATACGCTGCCAGAAATTGAAATTGCAACACTAAAAAATAGATTAGAACGAAACTCTTTACCATTCATGGAACAATATAAATAAATGACTAAAATTTCAGAAAATATTTAGCACTTTTAAATCTTTGTGGATGGGCAACTCTGTTTGGGGTCATCTTCTCTTATTTAATATATATATGTATATATTATTTGATCGATATATTCAATATAATGTACAATAGACGTTTCGATCCTATTGCGGATTCTTTTAATATCACAAAATGATCATTAAAATACAATTAAAAATTTTTGGTCATACACTTAAAAATTGAAATAAAAAAATCGAATTATGTGACATGTGGCCGTGTTTTGTGATGTAGAAGACGTATAAGAATAATATGTAAATGTAATAAATGTAGTAATATGTAAATGTTAGAATTCTTGTTGATTTTGCTTGGACATTGAAGGAAAGAATGTATAAGTGGAAATATTTATTATAAATCAAAGCTTATACATATATGCATGTCATTAAATAACAATATGTTTGCACCTGAGAGCTACATTACGCTTCGAAAGCTCCTATTAATATTATGCAACCGCATATATAATAAAACAGTATCTATCCATGTAAGTATATGTATCCATTCGTGATCCGATAATATACTTCTCGAATATTATTTAGATTATCTCTTGTATCATTCATACCGAATACAAAAGCATCATTATTTTTTTTAGAAAACTTCGTCGTAGATGTAATATTATTATATTAATTCTAGACAGCGGTTTTTCACAATGAAACAATGATAGTATAGATTTTCTATATAAGAAAAAAAAGAATTTTTGCTGATCTTATGTAGAAAGATGAAAAAAAATTAGAATAAAATAGAATGGCGTTAATTCTGTTTATCGATCAAATCTATTTGAGCAAAATGATAATTTTATAGAAATGCAACAAAAGTATAACAAATTATTTTAATAACAAATTATTAAATTTTTCTCTTTAATTTAATGTACAGCAAATCATATTTTAGAAATTCGACTTCATTTATTCCTTCTTATAGACAAATAAGTTAAATCAATCTTCATATTTGAAAGTTTTGTTATTTTTAGTATTGAATATATTTAAAATAAAATGTAAATTAGAAAAACATGACATATCTACATAATTACATTTTCTAATCACGTGATAGTTATATGTAAATAATAATTATGTTTATTACATGAACGTAAATAAATTTTAAATGATCACAAATATTTCGAAAATAATACATTTAATAAGTTTCAAATAAAAAAAAATTATTTTGTTTCGAGCGATATGACGATTTTCATGTTTGATGAAAGTATTTTCGAAATTTTAAAGTTATTTGATATTTTGTTCAATCTAACTATATTTGGTTTTTTAATCGATATTCGTTATCACTCTGCACGCAAAATTACTAAAAAAATATCGACATATAAGTATTTATGAAATATCTTGTATTTTATCCTGATATATTCGGATGTAAGACGAAATATCTTGTAAAACAGTCGCTGCCCAATGACATTAGTTCAGTATTTTTAAACTTGAAATGATAAAATGAATCGATAGACATAAAATAATACATAGCGTCAAGTTTCATATCGCATATGCATTAGTAAGTATATGTGAATAATAAGGCCAATATCAATTTTTCTTGCCATTATATTATTCCTTGTCATTGTATTTTATAAAAGTTTTTATTATATATATATATATATATATATAAATTTTTAAATAATAACAGTACACAACAGAAAGAGAATACATTAGATAATTTCAAAACATTGAACCTATTATATCTATTTGACTTGCAGATCTTTCCTTAACTTGTAATTTTACTAAAATGGTTTAATTTAAAATAATCTCAATCAAAAAAGGAGCATTCAATCCTCAGTAGACACAGAAATTTAAGCCTTTGATATCACGGAATTTATATAACTTCATTACAAACAAAATCGTTCGAAATAAAAGATTTAGAGATGTAATCGGAACTAACAATTATTTTACGTAATTAATTATAATCTATTGTTATATATTAAGGAGTTTAAGAAATTCTTTCCTAGACGGAATAAAAAAAATCTTATGGAATGGGAAGCCTTTTATATATATATAAAATGTCTGCTGAGGATCAACATTTATTAATTTTAATCGAATTGAAAGAGAATTTAGGCCTTTAAGCTCTCAGGCACATAAATTGGAACAATATTAAAGGCATGTAACAAAAATAAAGCAAAAATGATAATGTAAAATATTGTAAGTGATGAAAATAAATAAATAAAGTTTTCAAAAAAGATTTAATTTACAAATAGATAAATATGCAATATTTTTCTTTCCGTCAAGACGTGAATTAAACGTGTACATTCAATAGAACCGAATACAATGTTACGCAGTTTCGAATGCATATAGTTTTCATTATTTTACTGTGTGTATATTTACGTAGTCAAACATTTCCAAGAATAGGAGATTAAAGAGATCAAATGGAAAGTCTAGAAGAATGCTCAATTGCAATGCATCGATTTGCTTATTGTTAACTTCTTTTATGTTTTTTCATTTTCACGAAAACATTCATTTAAAATAAAATAATATATGTATAATGCGAACAATATTAAACTTTTTATTTGAACTTTTTTAAAAATTATAGAAAAAATAATCGTTTTCATTTCGAATCCAGGGATATTCAAAAATGATAAAACACAGTAAAAAAAGCTCGAAAAAATATGTTAATAAAATATGTTTCATTTTAGTTTAGAACTCGTAAGTGTGCAAGTTGACATTAAAAAGACGAAAATTAAAATTTTCTTTTTACGACTTCCAAAATTTATTTAAGAAATAAAAACAGTTTTAATTAATAACTTTCAACAAAGATTGATTTAAATTAATTCAAACCATTAATTATAATACAATGAATAGAAAATATTTCTCATACGTAAAAATTAATACACAAAATATCAATACTTTGAGTTATACAACAATACATAAAATTAATTTATTTTGATAATAATAATATAATTCTATTATAAAAATAAATTATTATAATCTTAATTACATTTTTAAAAAACATTTTTATATAACTACACTCAAAAAAATATATTTACATACATTTTTCAAGTGACAAAATTATGTTGCACATAATTTAATATTTGAAATTGATTTTTTCCTCTCGTCTATATCTCTCAACTTGAAGTACAGTTAATTGGAATTAACTCGAATTTCTGGCATGTAGTAAAAGTTGCAAAACGGAAATAATAACTAAGAATTTATTATTAAAAAAGGCTTAACATAAAAAATTTTATACTCTGTTTATTTTATGCTCCATAGTATTTTTGTAAAAAGAATCAAATTCTCCTGTTAGATATTTAAAAAAATGATTCAAAGCGTCAATCTTTTCGATGCCAACTATATGTACACTTATGAATGGAAAAGATAATCACAATTTTTTATCTTAATGCAATGGAATATGTCAAAGTCATGAGAACGATCTCGAAGATTTTGACGTATATCGAAAATACATGTATTGCACTTTCGAATCTAGAACTCTAGAATCATGCAAAGAATCCGGATTATTTGACAATATATTATTCAATTCCCTAGTTATCTGACCATCGCAGTTGAATTACCGTGATGAAAAAAGCATTTCGTTTAATTTTTCCAAGGGAGTTCAATAGCGGAAAAAGTGGGGGAGAGGGGAGAAGGAGGCAGAGGAGAGGGGAATGAGAGCGAGAGATAGGGGGGAGAGAGAGAGAGAGAGAGAGAGAGAGAGAGAGAGAGAGAGAGAGAGAGATCTGAAGTTAAATAATATGTTAGATTCGGATTCAACCATGTACCTTACGGCAGACGGTGCACTTTTTCCACACGTTAAAATTCTGTAAAAATTACAAGCATTACATTTTTTTTGCAATTTACTAGCTGGCATATAATCCAGCGCAATTGAAAACTGACTTATATTAATCGAATGGTTTTATTATCTGTTTGATAAACAAATAGACAAGTTTTACGCTCACAATTTCTGCTACAACATCGCTGCGTATGTCATTGATTGTGACATTATCCTTCTATTGCATGAAAAACATATTGAAAAAAACATATTGAAAAATTTACACTTTAATCTTCTAAAGTTTATGTAAAACATAAAGTAAAATATTGCTAAAACACAATTTTGTAACAATCTATAGGATGGTCCTTTTATCAAGGGATCTATTTTTTAAATATAGATTTAAAAACTAATTTTAAGAAAATGTGTCCATAATGCCGCAAAAAAACTATTTCTTACTTAAGATAATCATCGAAATGTGCGAAATTAATATAAATTAAATATATATGTAAATCTAACAGTTGCACATTCAATTAAAACTGAAAAAGTTAAAATATCACCATAGAAGAAAAAACGCATATGTGGAAGTATTTTTATCATTATACACGTGCAAATATGAAGTTGAAATTAATCAGATTTAGCTAGGACAACGCACATTATCGAAAAAAATATAAATAGAAATAATGTACGTGATTTAAATAATTATTCTTTTGAATTTTCATTCGATTACTCGATATCTTTCAGATTTATTCTTATAATCGTTTGAAAACGTCGTAAATAGTAATTCGTGCTAAACAGTAAAATTGTCCGCATGAAATTATGAATAAAAATCTAAAAGCAGAATAAATTAGCTCGCATAACAGTGAGTTTTTCGTTAGAGAGAAGTAACTGGAATGTGTGCTGTAAACGATCCGAACATCATCCGTCAATGCAGAATCTCCTTTCGCCTCTTATCATTCGCACATTGAGATTATAGTCTAATGTAGTTCTCGTAAAGTAGTTTTCGTCAATGAACGTTTCCTTTACTTCGCACGAAAGGCATATTTCCAGTCCTGCAACAGAATGGCAACAAGTTTTAAGCCTAATTGTTTCAAAAATAAAAAGAATCTTGTGTCTTCGATTATTTCTACGGATAATATACCTCTAAAAATTGAATAATATAGAAATAATATAATAATTTAAAGTTTGGATATCTATAATGAATAAATCCATACAGAAATAATAAATTACGTTATTTTTTTTTATATAATTACTAAATGAAGTTAATATACATTTTTTACTTTAAATATAATATTAATTATATCAATACATAAACAAATATTATGACACTTTGATGTAAATTAATGATAATTATGTTAATAGAAACTTTTCCAATTCCTATAAAGAATATTCTCGCACTTCATATGGTTTTCTGCATTTTATATGATATTCTTCTGTAGTAATCCTACAATTTGTGATTTAATATTGACGTCAATTCTATTTTTATTAAAGACACAAGATATTTATAATTATATTTTATACAATATTAATAACAGTGCTCTGAAAGAACCGCATAGTAAATTAGTTAAATTAACTAATGAGCATTTATATTTCATCATAGCAAGCACACAAAAATCGTGAAAACAATTATGATACACAATTATTGTTTCGGCATGCAATTCCACACAACAAGTTTACATTTACTTCTTCTGCAACTTCCTTAATTATCTAGTTATTAATATTAGTATTCACATTCTGTTTTAAAACTTATTATATTCGATACAATTATATTTATTATTATTATCACTATATTTATGAATTTCACATCAAAGGCATTCATTAATTATTAGAAAATAAAAATTAAAGAAGCAAGTAAACGAGAAGATGTTTTAAAAAAATTAAATACAGATTTTGTATATAATAATATAAAATCCATATCATATATTACCAATAACTTTTATTTTCAATATAAAATAATTTGATTATTTATAAAAATAATCAACCGATATATTATACAATCTGATATATATTTTTAATCTTTATATAAAAAGTGTATCTTTATAAGATGTATTATCTTTTTATCGACTTGCTCCTTCAACATTAACCAGATATTTATTCATTTAAAAGAAATAAAATATCTAGAAAGAAATAAACAATAAACAAAAACAATAAACAAAAATAATCGCAATCAGTTAAATTATGTGCTTAACGAAAATCTCTATGTACTTTTCTACGAAAAAAATACGCACCTTATTATTTATCCTTTCGTCATCGGCATTGATATATTTCCGCTATGTCATCGTCATCCTCGTTTTGTTACCTCGGATTCCGCTCAATTTATACTCAAGAACCAAAAGCGAAACAAAAACGACAACGCAAGTTGATCCAAAGAACGAATCTCATAGTTAAACACAAGTTTGCGTGCAGAAAAATGCACAATATTCCATTCATTACGAACATTACATTATACGTTCCATAAATTTCTATTTTTTTTCTACATGCCTTTTCGGCGTTCTAAAATCAAACGTATTGTAGAATCCATCTATTCTAAAATTGAATTAATGAGTATAAAAAAAGGACAAATCATATTTAATAAATTTTTCAGTATTAAAAAAACTGTTAAATTTTAATTTCAGTGAAAAGATTAAGAAAATTATTTTTGAAAATTTAATTGACATTTAATATTTTTGAAACATTTCTGAATCTTATCTATTGAATAAAAAATTTAGATTTCTAATTTGGACTCATACCCTTTCTACACTCGAAAATATAAATTTTGTGGTATACTATTACATATTTACCTTATTTACCTTAAATTATATTAAACAATTATTTCTCTTTATGTTGTAACAATATGAAATAATTTACATAAAATAATTTTCAAAATAGTGTTAAAATACTGACTATTAAAATATCTCTTTTGATTGCTCAGATTTAATTTGACTATTTAAAAAACTCATCAAAGAAGCTTCTACATTTTTACAGAATGTACAATCAACATTTTTTTGTTAATCTTGAATATTACGAATCCTGAACTTGTGTCCTTTCTTAGTGCTAATTTTTAACGTCTATTTTAAGCCTAAAAGCTTGAGACAAACGCTCTATTTGCACTAAAAACATACCTATCTATTTCAAGACCAAGAAAAAATTATTTTTGAACAAAATTGGAACACAGTTAGGACTTAGATATTTCTTTATTTTAGATGCCTTCAATTTTTAATCGCATTTTAATGGAACATGTGAAATTGAATCTTTAATTAAATAAATAAAATATTACGCGTTCTGTTTTCGTTCAATTTCTCACACTATACATGGAAATAAAAAAATATTCTATCATAAATATATTTTATATGTACTGATATGGCAAACATGTACTAATAAAATAGCTCAAAATAAAATTACATGATCAAACGAACTTACAAGTGAAGTTCGATCATAATTATGCGAATGCTTCGTCCGAATAGAAATATAGTCATGTCTCGTTCTACTCGGATGAAGCGCATAATTATAAAATAAAATTAGATTATAACGAAATAGATGTTCCAAAATAAATGATCTAAAATAGATCTAAAATAGATAGAGTCTACAATACTTGCTTTTAATTGCAAAATCTTTATGTATATGAGTGTGTGCGTTATTGTTGATTATTAGAAGTTATTATAATTAACACAAAATTCTAAAATACAACTTTATAAAGATATTTCAAATAAAAATTGTTAGTATTTTCGAAATATCTTTGGTTAATATAGTTTTGTTGTAGATAGAGCATGTCAAAAAGCGTAACATAGATTTCAACCTAAATTTTTTGTTCTATATTGGAATATATATTTTTTTCTTACTCGATTTTCTTAATATTCTTTATGTAAAATTATTTAGATAATTAAAATTATTAAAAAGTAAATAATTCACAAAATATTTCATATTTTATCATAATATGCATAACATTTGATGTAAATAAGATATGAAATAACTTATAAAATGTAAAGCACTTCATATTCTTCGATCTTATTTTACATTTGTATAATAGAAAAACGATAATCAATTAATGTAAAAGAATATATAGCTATGAAAAGTGAAACTACATGTTGCATATTATACATTTATGCATCATGTTATATGCAAAGAAAATCAAGTATGATTATATACATATTTTTTTCAGAAGCAATTTAATCTTAATTTAAATCTTGATTTAACACATAATTATTAAAAGTATTATAAAAAATAATGTTTTATATACATTATCATTTCTTCATAGACTAACTATAATAAAAAAAATTGTGATGACTTCAAAATATCAATGGAGAAGAAATTAAGAATAAATTAAAGTCTAAAGTTTGAAAATAATTTATTTATTATTTATTAAAATCTCAAGGCACTACCTTCATCATTTTTAACCTATTAATTTAATCGAGAATAAAATAATCATTAATTTATGTAACAAATTATCCTATCTAAAAAAAGAATGTGTGTATATTAAGATTGCTGTATGTCGCTTCGTAGAATATACATATAAAACTCATATCTCTTTTTCAATCAAAATCATACTCTTGGTATCTCGCAACGCAGAAATCAACAAACATTAATTTTTTTCTTTTTTTACATGCACCGTTGAAATCTTACGAGAGATATCGCCTACATCATTTTGTGCCACCGTTAAATATATTTCAAGTATAATTCAGATATATTTCGAATATATATTTTTAATTTCGACTTGACATTTTTTCCTAATAAAATTTTCAAATACATTCGATGTAGATCTATGTCCGAATTATATTTGAAATACATTTTTCTCTATACAATTATGTAAATATATCTATCGCTGTAAATAAAATATATCTTCGAGATATCTTATTTCATATTTTCAAAATATTATATATTCAAGAAATTGCTGCAATCTGGTTTCGAACCGTGCATAAATTGCGATTAAGATATCGCTAAAAGCCATATGGTGATAAATTTTTAAAATCGATTTGTTTATAACGCAAAATACTTAATAAAATATATTTCGTACTATCTAATATTTTTATCGATATATGAGATATATGTGTGTCACTGCATTGCAAACTTGGAGAAACTCTTTATAAAATAAAATTTAAAAAATCAAAATACATCGTCAATATTTATCGATGTATTCCAATTTTGACTTCATTTAAAACGTTAGAATATATTTTCCGATAAATTTTAATGAATTATATTCCGATTTATATTCCAATTTATATCGTAATAAATACATATGCATGTAATTGTTATAATAAATTGAATAAAATTCGGAATATTTTCAGAATTATTAGATTTATAACATTGTTTTTACATAGTCTTTTGCTTATTTCAGTTGAAGCCTTTTAATCATTAATATATTTAGTTTCTTTTTTTTTTCAGGATTTGCTTTGCGAATCTATACTGCATTATATAGTTAAGCAAAGTTGCAATTTGCACAATACTACTTTTAAATACTACTTTTAAATAACATGTGCGTAATTTCATCGATTTCGATAAAAAAGAAAAAAAAAGAAATAGACACACATTTTAGGGGCAAAAGAAGAAAAGTTTTTAAATCAGACTACATAACATATGATAAATCAAATATATAAGAATTTTCATTATGTTTAGATTCTTTATATTTTTGAGTTCTTATCAACATATATATATTGTTTTTATTGATTCTTCTAATTGCATTCATTTTTTAATTTCAATTAAAATCAACGTGTCAAATATATTTGATTGTTGCAATCTCTTTATGTAAATCATGAATATAAGAAAATGACTGAACCTGCTATAAAACGTCTACGTAAAAAAAGAGAAGTATAGAGAAAAATATGTCATATCAAATCAATATTGATTACCTTATTGACACAATTTTTTTTAGATGTACAAATTTTAACATATACTAGATTCATCAATAAAAATGTAATTTCAAATATTTTATGAATAATCGTAGTAAATAAATATCTAATGAAATGCGTCAAAAATGCTTCAAAATTGGAAGGCAATAATGTAATACGTTACATATTTCAAAGTAGATTTAATATATTTTAATATATTTTATTTCCTAGATAAGTTAACATTATAGATATGATTTTTACATCAAATCAAACAGAAAAAAATATTTATTTTTTTTTGAAATTTTTTATTCTTATATAATATTAAAATGCATTTCTAGTTCAAGTTCCAATGTTATAATCATAATGTTTTTCAAGGTGTAAAAGTTTTACACAAATTCCGAATATCTTTAGAACGCTTTAACTTCCAAACCGTATAACTTTAATCTCTTTAAAAAATTTTTGTAAGTATTTAAATATACAATATATTTTTCAACAATTATACATTATTTAAAAATTTGTTTATTCACGCGTAAAGTGATAAATACGCTTTAAAATTATTTGTCGTCAAGTTCTGTATTTTAAACCGTTTTGAAGTTGGAGCATTCTAAAAGTATCATTTTCAAAATTTTTTAAATTTAAATTAAAAACTTTCATATCTCAAAAAGTATTATGATTACAGCGTTAAAATACATATCTTAACATTATGTATAAGAATCAAAAATTTCGGAAAGAGCAAAAAAACACGCATTTTTTCGGTTCGATTTGATGTGAAATATCCTTATATAAAAAATATCCGTATATTTTAATAATACGAGTTTAAATTTCTTAATGTTTTTCATAGTTAAAAATCTTTATATTTTCAATTAACATAACATTTTCGTATATTTACAATATTATGTTATTTTATATTTTTTTATCGTTTTTATATTTGTCAGCTACAGTTTGCATAAAATGACAGATAAGCTGGTCCAGTTATTTCTTACATTTACGATATAAGTGAGTAAACCTTTATCTGAAAAATGAGTCTCACGTAAATGCAATATATACAAGGTGTTCCAATTAAAACGATGATTACACCCTGTAATTATATATAATACTAAAATACGTAAAAAAGTTTTTAATTTGTGTCTATAATGAATAAAGAGAAATGCCATATCAAAAACGCTAATACCTTATTGTTCTTCTAAAAAAAAATTGCTGAAATTTTCTGCTCATCTTAGGAAATGATGATGAATAGCTTTACAAAGTGTACAATAAAATGTGTGTCAAATATAATTATAAAATATCTTGAATGAATAAAATTCTAAAAATAAATCATCAATGTTCTAATCGATGATTTAAGGAGAATCCTGCATATAATTCTATACTGAGTGATTCACTTGGAAGGGTATATTTACGTCACGCTTTATCACATGATAGTTAGATGTGTTCTATTCGGAGCATATTCAGGATGTGTACTTATTGTTAGATATGCATTACGCGATACTATATTTTTACGCCACATATAAACTGACACACTTTCCATTCTATCTAGTTTCAATATTTTTCTTGATACGTTCTTTCATAATCTGTATAAAACAATGAACTATTTAATTAAGGAGATTATAAAATTGTGAGTACAGAGACAAAAATAAATCTTAATACTTCATTTTAATATCTTTAATTTTAATATTTTATTTCAAATTTGACCAATTAATTTTAATTTTACCAGACTTTCATTTTAATTTTATAATATTAAGTTTCCTAGTTTTCTATTTTATGATACCAAAAGATAGAAATTAATCGATTGAGATATGAATTGTTTATAGATTATCATTCTAAAAGAATATATTTTAGAATCTTCGCTCATCCTAGAAATACATCTATCTATTCAGTGACGTCGTACTTAAAAAAATCATCGATAAACGAATGAGAGCACGGTAAAATATATCTATATATATATACATATATATACACATATATATATATACACACACACACATACATACATACACATATATATATATACACATATATACACACACACACATATGTACGTACGTATGTATGTATGTATTCTGCATTTAAGATGAGACAAATGTTATAAGAAAGCATTATAGAGTAAAAGATAGATAAAATTTGTTAGAAAAAATACAGGATACGCAACTGAAGAGAACGGATTTAACGAATCAATAAAGCGGAATAGAAGCTAACGAGAAACGGAAAATGGAATCCACCCGATTTATGTAGATGACGAGTGAATGCCAAAAGCTTGGAAGATCTTATTTTTAAACCCGGGTTTGTTAGGACTAGCATCATGTTGGTGCTGGCCACTGCTCGCCGCTGACTGTCCTTCATGTAGCGCCCTTTGCACCAATGGCAGCGAACTGTTCACCTGCGTTCGATTGCGTTCGTATGCGTGCGAGTGCGGTCGCCGATGAGATTCGGCCAGAATTCGGTCAGATCAGGTTGTGCCGGACGTGACGGACGACGAAACGAAAAAAAGAACAAAAAGAAAGAAGAAAAGGATAGTAGACGGCTATAAGTGTTTGTGTCAGCTACTGCATAGCATGCGGAAGTGCATACGGCTAATTTATACGTCGAAATGACAAACGACAGAAAAAAAACTCACCTCTTCGTGACTTTGTTCATGTTCGCTATTAGCCAGACTGGATCGTGAGCCACGTCTGGTAGAGCTTTTGTCATCGCCTAACAGCGTCTGTACCACCCGTGCCTTACTCACCAATTCTAATGCCTGCAAAAAGAAAAACAAATTATTTTACAAATGCATATTATTGTAACTAATTAAATCAAATTTTAATGGATATATATTTTTTTACGCTACGAATTAATTCCAACACCTAATATATACACACACACAATATTATGTATATCATATATGTATTTTTTATTAATTCTAATTTGCAAATTTATTATATAATTCTAATATTTGATCTAAATATTTAAAGGCCTTGTTAATTTGAACTTTTTGCACAATTGATATTTCTTCTTTTTCTTTTCACGTTAAAGAAAGAGGAGAAAAAATGAATTGTGCAAGGAGTCTAGCTGAAAAAAGTAATCTACTATCTAACATTTTGACTACTAATGCCTCAAATCATAAATTTATTCCAAGGTGAATAAAAAAATTTTTCTCTCTTGATAGGTCTTTTTATTTTATAATCGATTGTTATAATAATTGTTAAAATGTGATTTGTGTATGAATTATAAATGTGACTTGAAGAAACAATCAAGAAATTTGGTTCATATATATATTAATTATATGTATTAATTATTATATGTGGCAATCAATTAATTAACATTATATTAATTCAAATTAAAATTTGAATTAAAAAATATTTAAAAAAGAATATTTTAAACGCAGACAAAGAAAATCAATTTTGTGTAATTTTGCAATGTGCAAAAATCAAAATTTTAGAACAGTGCTAAGAAACTTTTACTCACTTGTTGCACGTGCTGCGTGCGAGAAATGTAAGAAATATTGTTAGTTATATTATTTATAATTATACGTAATAATTCTTGTATTCTTGTGTATTCTTTACCAAGAAGTTAATACAAATATTATCTACCTCTCTTCGAGATCTCAAGGCGCAATCTTCGAGCGTTTCAGCAGCTTCGTATTTACCCTGTCTTCGATAAAGGGCACCAAGATTCTTTAAAGTAGTAGTAACAGTAGGAGAATCCACTTTCGCAGCCTTGTGCCAACCGCCATATTCGCCATATGGTGTGTTTTCCTTGTTCCTATGTTTATTTTCCTCTCTTTCTTCGGCCACCTAAAACAGAAATCATAAGATGATCAAAAAACAATTAAATGAATTTCAAAAAATTTCATCAAGAATTCGATAAAATTTTAAATTATATAAACAGATAATATAAAATATAAATCTATAATGCTGCTCCTTATTTTTTTTCAACAAATTAATCTTTTATCTTATATTTCTTTTATTAGTTATTTTTACTTTTTATTATTAAATTTATTGTTAAATTTTAATATTAAATTATTAAATTTATTGTTAAATTTTATTATTAAATTATTAAAAACAATATTGTTTTATAAACTATATTTATATTTTATGCTAATTAACATTTTTTCTTTATCTTATACTGTTCAATTAAATATATTCCAAGTCATCATCATGAATAAATATTTCTGTCTTATAATATAAATCTTAGATGAGAAAACATATTTAAGTTAAGTATCTCTGTTTAATTAATGTAATAAAAGATATGAATTATCTTTGATAGGGAAATGATTATACCTAAGATATGTCTAAATTATTTTTAAGAATAACGAGATTATTTTTTTAAGATTATTTTTTTAAGAATAACAAGATTTCTAATGTTGGCAATTCAGTTATATTACTTTAGTTGTTATTTGATTTTAATCTAAATTACTTCTTTTGTGCGGCCGTTTTTTTTTTACCGACAAAAGTTTGTTTCGCGAAATTTTCTTTATCTTTTTTTCCTGTTAATAATTTTTTTCTCCAATTTTTTGAGATATTTAAATATACCATAAAATTCTATATAATTTCAACTATTACTTAATATATTTAAAAAATTGCATTTTTATTTCTATCCAATTGTTGTTCCTAGGGACAATTATATAATATTATATATTCAGGTTACACTTTAACATCTTCAAGTGATGTTGACACATTTTTATTTTTATCTTTTTTGCATAGGTAATTAAACTGAAGTGTTATATCTAGGGACGTGTACTTCGAGACACTTTTAACATGTGCAGCACAATGCTGAATACTATATTTTTATTTTTATCAGTGCACTGTAATAACGCAAAAAGGATAAAAATAAGAAGCAAAAAAAAGAACATTGAACCTAAACAAAATGAAAGTAGTGATTAAAGATATTTTAGATAGAAAAAAGATCTGTAGAATAATTTAGACAAACACGCCTCACATATAACTAATATGTTCAAAATCAGTAATAAAATTAAAATTATATATTATTTCATTCTTGTTATACATACTCTTTGTAAATATATAATAACAAAGGAGATTAAAATTAAGAAAAACAGAAATATTATTGTACTAAAATCAATTTTATTTTATAACATTTTTTAGAAAATTTTTTGAAAAAAATTTTATATTATTTGTTTGTTGATTTTTTTTTATTTTTCCCACATTTGTTATAAAAAAAGAAGATACATTGGATATGATTTATGTAACCATTTTAAACAAATGGTAAATTGTATTTCCTTTGATTTTAATAATAATTTGTTTCAATATTGTTTATAAAATCTCCAGATTATAATTAACCCAAGTAGCACATAGTTTTACATACTTTAAAATGATCATAACATTAAATACATTTGTAAAACCTCTTTATTGTAAAAAAATATATATTCTAATCAACATATGCTACCTAAATCTTTTGATCAATTTTTACAGTAAATTCGTAAGTTACGAATAAACAGAAATAATTTCTTAACGAAATTCTTATTTGTATAATAATTCATTATTATTGAAGGCGTGAAATTCGTAGAATTCATCACTGATTATCTTGTTTTTCTTTAACTCGCGAAATTTTAGCCATAATCTTTAAACTCTTTCCATTTAAAAATTATTAGAGTCTCGACATTTTCATATTAAAATTTTCATCTTAAATCTTACAAAAAATTATTAAAATAATTATTGCCGTGTTGACTGTATAATTAACATATCTTGTTTCTTAACTTTTTATTAGGATAATATTCTTTTGGGAACAAATCAATATTTGATTGTTGCCTCTAGTTTACATAAGATATCTATAAAAAGTGAGGCGCATTGAGCACTGAGGCACATTTGTCTGAATTATCCTAAGAGTTATATCTTTACTAATAATTATAGTTTAATTATAACAAACTTCAATGGAATTAAAGTTGTTTTTTTCATACAAAACGTTTAATTTTGTGTCCTCAGGTATAACATATGTACATTGTTCCTAGGTGCAATTATATA